CAATTCACTCACTTTACTACCGCGTTTGACTTAATTGTCCATCTCTATCTCCGCCTGTCAGCAACTATAGTTCCGATCTCTGTATCTGCTACCCTCAGTTCCCACCGACCGTAACTGCTGTCCTTGGTTCCCCAATCTCCCTCTCTTCAATTGTCTCCTTTGTCTAGTGCACTTATGTACAGTAATGGGGCCAGCGTAGCCTCTTCGAGAATCTTCTAGACACTCCTCACGTGATACCAGCGTCACTTGACTTCTGCTGTCATAACAATATGATCACCAACATGCTTTAGCGAAAACAAGTTCAGAAATTATACCCTATCCTCTTATGACAACCATTCCATCCCAGGCACCTTTCTAGTAGTCCTCCACTGAATCTTTTCCAACAATTCAATGCCCTTACTAAGGTAAGGAGCCCAATACTGAATACAGTACTCCAAATGTTGCTTAACCAGTGACCTATACAATGAAATTATAACCTCTTTAGACTTGTATTCATAATTTCTTTAAATACAACCTAAGATCCTATTTGCCCTACCACTGCTTGGATGGCTTAAGAGTCTGGTCAATTACTACATCAAAACCCCTTTCTTTCTTAACACTGTTAAGGTTAGTCCTATCAAAATTAAACTCATAATTCAAAATTTGATATCCATATGCATTAACTCGCATTTATTATAATTGAAAATTATCTGCCATTCATTTGCCTAACTCATTAATAATTCAAATCCTTTTTTAAGTTAGTAGTATCCTCCTCACAGCTAGCAACACTCAAAACTAATATCATCAGCAAATTTAAATAATCTATTTACCATTCCGTCATGTATGTCATTGATATAAATTAAAAAGAGCAAAGGCCCTAAGACTGAGCCCTGACGTACTCCAATTGTGATATCAATTTAGTTTGATTGAACTACATATCTAACAACCATCCAGCCAATCTTCTATCAAATTAGCTTACTTGTCCCCCACACTTATGAAACAACTTTTACAAGCCATGTGGCACCTTAACAAATACTTTCTGAAAATACAGACACGCCATACTCTCATCTACACAAACAGTAACATTTTAAAAGAATATCAAAAGATTTGTAAGACACGATATTCCTCCAATGAAACCATGTTGACTATTCAATAAAATTCTGAGCTTTGTCAAATGACTTTGCAAACATCTTTTATCAGACTTTCCAATAACTGACGTAAGACTAATAGGCCTGTAATTACTGGAATAATTTGAAAAGAGGAGTAACATTAATTAACTTCCAATTCTCTGGCACCTACCCACCTTTCAAGG